ATTAGATAGGAGCTTCGTGCTCAACTTAGTTATCAATTTTATCATATTAGTTTGACATCTTTGATACAAGTAACGAGTTCACTTCCAAGTGAACAACCCGATAGTCTTCTTCTTATCATAGCATACCAACCAGCGAACACCCAGCCAAGTTTAGTTAGCCAGTTTGAGTATTCGTTACACTATACTTATAGAACTAGGTTAGATAGCTTAAGGCTTAAAACATAAGACTTCTTATATTATAGATATTTTTATACTATACCTTATCTAACCTACTTCTATCATCTTATTACTTTTTCTTATATTTTTAGGGGTTTAACCTTTTTACTTAGAACATAGAATATTTCTATCTTTCCCTAATACTTAGTTATATATATTTAGAGTTATTTCTCTTTAGGGATTTAAGTTCTACGTTACGCTATAGAGTTTAAATCTTTGGCAGTCTTTATTTGTTTTTAGGTTTATATTAGCGGAGTCAAATGTTATTACGTCTTCTTAAGCTAGGTTGTTTGTGATCTGGCTACGGTCTCTTGGGTAGTATCTTTAAAGGTCTCTCTAAACAAGTTGGAGTCGTATTAGACGAAAAACTGTCATTGAATTACGGTTATATTCTTACTTACAAGAATTGGCTTAACTTCTAAGATAGACAGAAATTAATTTCATGTCTTAGAAAAGTACTTTTCTTATTCTGTCTTTAACTACTTTTATAATAATAAATCATTATTCTGCCACTCATCTCCCCATCACCTAGGGAAAGTCAACTTTGCATACTTCTTTCATAGCATCAGCGGTATAATGTAACCTGTAATTTTAATGTTGCCTATAGCATTCACATTATTAACAAGGGCAGTAGCCGGCCATCTATCTCAAAACAACCTCCCAGAAACCCTCCACTAGCCAACCAACTCATGTTATACCCTATCTTACCTTCCCCACCAACAAAACAAACAGAAGACCCAACTCCCAAAATCTCATCCCCCGGAAACAATTCGGGGATATCTCGCCGACTTCGCACACACTCTTCTCTTGACTTCTATACCTAGGTAGGCTTCATTACTCAAGATACACCTACACCCCAATTCCCCCCACAAGAAACGAATAAGGAACGAAAAGAGAAGTGAAATTACATTCCAATCACAAAAAGCACATGAGGCAACCACGAGTCAAAAACCTAAAACCTTCATCTCAGTATCCAATAAACCCTCTATCAACAGACAACAAACATGGTTACCACACCCAACAACCTTAAACACTCCCTCGCTTACTACAAACCAACATCCCCTTCCCTTAAATTCCCGAATCCCGAATTCCGAATCCCGAGCTCAATCCTTCCCAGACGCCAGACCAACAACATAATCTATCCTCGTGTAGGAAACAGACCCAGGACACCAGGGATCCAGGGGATACATCGAATATTGGGCAGGGCAGGTTACAAGACCTTTCCTTTTTAAGTTAGATTTAAAGTAACGTTCTATGCGTGGCAGCACGTTTTCTCCTGTACAGTACTACCGAGGAGAGAATAGATGTCTGATTCTTAATAGATCTCACCACCTGTCCCCCTAACCACACGATCCACGGTGACGTCAAAAGGTCTGGAAAGAATACTCCAGGCACAACCGCATACCCATAACACAATATAACAAACTCACATCCACATCTCAAACCCCCTCTACTCCCAACCTCCCCCCCTCTACCTCCCCTCAACCCCTCTCCCCCCCCTCCACATAA